TCCTTGGTTTGAGATATGCATTGCGATTATCTTCTCCCAGTCTGTGGCTGGCTTTTAACTCCTCTGTTTCTTTTGGTTTTTGTTTTTGAACAAACAGCAGTTCTTAATTCTAATGTAGCTGAATTTATCTATTGTTTTTTTTTTTCTTGTTTAAGGTGTCTAAGCCAAAGTCATGATGCTCACCTATATTTCTTCTAAAAGTGTTAACTGTATTACCTTTCACATTTAGATGTACAATCCATACAAAACGAATTTCTGTGTAGGGTGGGTGGCTATAGTCAAATTGTTTTTCTTACGCATGCAGAGAGCCAATTAACCCAGCAGCATTTATCAAAAATACTATCTTTTTACCACAATATTACAGAGTCATCTTTGTCATACATCAATATATTGGGGCCTGTTTCTGGACACTGTTTATGCTTGTGCCTGTACCACAGTCTTGATATCCAGCAATCTAAGTCCTGTAGATCTATTTTTCTATTTTCAGGTTGTCTTAGCTATGGTTAGTCAGTGTGTCTGCATATACATTTTAAATTCAGATTTGCTAATTTCTAATTAGCTGCTAGATGGTGATTAGGGTTGCACTTACAGTCATCAACACAGTAAATATATCCTTCCATTTATTTTGGTCTTAAACGTCCCTTAATTTGGTGATGCAGTTTTTGGATTTCTAGAACTTACTGTTTTAGGGCTATTGTAAACCTAACAGCAAGGTAACAGTAGTAGAGTTTACATCTTGATTTAATTTGATAAATACTCCTGTATAAGCATCACCACAATGCAGCGAACCCATCACTGGCAGGGATCCCTGCCCCTTTACTGCCTCCTGTCCACCAACATGAAAACAATTATTTCCTAGATTTTATCTGTTTCCCTTTTCCCTGTGTTTTTAGGCAGGCAGGTAAATCTGGTCTCTGCTCCCCTATCCTGGGTGGATACAGCTCTCCTGGTATTAATTTACTTTCTATTGGTAGTTTATATATAGAAACAATTTTTCTATAGTGAGATTGTTAATTCACTTCTGATATCTCCATATTTTGCACATTTCTATGCAACGATACCACTTAACAATGAGTTATGCTTCAAGTTTCCCAGTTTTATTCCTTAAATTTTTTTCCTTTTTGTTTTATTGATGAGCTAGAGAATTCAGTCCTATGTTAAACAGAAGTGGTAACAAGCGTTCTTGTCTGATTAATATCAGGAAAAGATACCTCAGTATTTACCTACTTAGTATGATGTTTGCTGTGTATCGGTTTCCTTGTTTTGTTTTGAAGATTTTATTTATTCATTTGAAAGGGAGAGAGACAGGGAGTGCACAAGAATAGAGAAAGGCAGAGGGAAAAACAGACTCCCCGCTGAGCTGGGAGCCAGATATGGGGCTCAATCCCAGGACCTGGAGATCATGACCTGAGTGGAAGGCAGATAGTTAACAACCTGAGCCACCCAAGCACCCTGGTTTCCTTGTTTTTGATGAGCATTCCTAGTTTTGTTGTTTTTTAACCACAAATGGGTATTAAGTTTTATCAAATATATTTTCTGCATCTGTTGAAATAAGTGGCTTCACTTATTTTTCTACTGAAGTAACTTAAACTTTTATTTTTCTGAAATAGTTTCACACTTACAAAACTCACGAGCACAATACCAAAAAAATTCTCATATCCCCTTCACTCAGATTCCCCTAACTGCACTGCACCTCCTCCCTCTGACCCTTAACACACTTGCACTCACACACACGAATTAGTCTTTCTCTAGAGCATCTGAAAATAAACTGCAGACACAAGGCTCCATTACCACTACCCACTCCAGTGTGTATCTTCCACAAAGGCCATAACCTACAGAACCACCCAACAATCATCCAAGTCAGGAGATAAACACTGATAAACACTACCATTCAAGCCATACACTGAATTTTGCCAACTGTTCTAACAACGTCTAGTCTTCCTTTTTGTTATTTTAAAATATCTACAGTCTTGGAGTGCCTGGGTGGCTGTGACGGTTGAGTCTGACTCTTGGTTTTGGCTCAAGTCATGATCTCAGGGTCATGAGATCAAACTCCGCTTGGGGCTCTCCACTCAGCAGGAAGTCTGCTTGAAGATTCTCCCCCTCTGCCCCTTCCCTTACTTACCTGCTTACTCACTCTCTAAAATGAATAAATACATAGCTCAGTCTCCTCCATCTGGAGCGGTTTTCATGTCACTCACATTTTTAAAGACTATAAGCTTTGCATTCAGTAAAATAACCTTTCAAATGGGTTCACCAGATATCTCCTCCTGAGCAAACACAGGTCACATTTTCTTGGCAAAAATACCACACAGATGATGCTGGCTCTTCTCAGTGCATCCCACCAAGGAATACATCGTGTTGACCTGTCCTACTCCACTGGTGAGGTGAACTTTGATCACCTAATCACATTGGTGTCTGCCGGGTTTAATCATAAAATCACCACATTGACCTTTGCAGCTGATTAGTATTTTGTGGGGAGATATTTGAACATTATGCCCACACCCTATTCTTCATCAAACCTCTACCCACAAACCCTGTCCTATGTTGACAACTACCTCCTAAATCAACCACCACTCCCAATGGCTGCCGAATGGGATTTTCCTATTTCCATTATCCTCCTTCTATTAACTGGCATTCTTATGTAAAGAAAAGTTTTCCCTTCTCATCGATGAATTTACTCATTTATTTATATCACTATAAATTAATGGATCCCCATTTTATTAAGTCTCTTGTGTTCTGATTCTATCGTTATTTTGATGTTCCAACTGTCTCAAATTTGGCCAGTGGAATCTGTCCAAGATGGTTCTTTTGTTTCCAAGATTCTTTGAACATTTTCTGTCTGGTAGCTAAGATGATTCAAGTTCATCTATTTCTTCCTATCTCTGACCTTGAATCAGCCATCACTCCAGAGACTTGGCTCCTTTTTGGGTGGAGGACAGCATTTAGAAATGAGTAGCCTGGCACTTCGTGTGCTGCTGCTGGGGTGTCACTGTGCATAGGCCCTCTCAGCAGACAGAGACATAAAACACACATACACAATTTCCATGAGTTACATTCCAATCCAACACTCTGCTGTTTTCCAACTTTCCTCTTCTCCATTTTTTTTTAAAGATTTTATTTATTTGTTTGACAGAGGGAGAGAGATCACAAGTAGGCAGAGAGGCAGGTAGAGAGGAGGAAGCAGGCTCCCTGCGGAACAGAGAGCCCGACGTGGGGCTCGATCCCAGGACCCTGGGATCATGACCTGAGCTGAAGGCAGAGGCTTAACCCACTGAGCCACCCAGGCGCCCCCCCCCCCATTCTCCATTTTTATGAAAGTCTTCTCCAATCTGTCTCCCATCATCCTCAACACGTTTTCTTTATTTGCTCAATGTTAAATATTTCAGCCATGCTGATCATCTTTTCCAGCTGCCCTCAATGCGCTGATGCAAGTGGATACCTCACCACAATACCTTTCTCATCCCCCACGGCATGCCTGTTCTGACTTCCATTCTAGGAAAGGAAGGCAGGAAAGAAATATAGAAATCACAAGGGAGAAAGGAGAATGTGAGAGGAAGAACTGGCCAAACTGATTTCATTTTAAACATGAAATCCTGGACTCCTTTAATAAACATTACTTGGTCCATGGATATGACTGGATTTTTTTAAAATTTAGGATTATGCACTTTAATTCATAAAATATTGGTAACTTTACTTTCCTGAAATGTCTATTACAGGTTTTGGTATCAAGGTTGTACTCAGCTCTCAAAATGAATTAGTAAAGTTCCATCTTCCTTTCTCTGGAAAAGTTCATAAAAGCTTGATGTTCTCTCCTTCTTAAATATTTGGAATAACTGCAGCGAGGCCATCTGTTCTGAGAGTTTTCTTTCTGGGCAGGTTTTGCTTTTTCTTTTCTTTTTTTTTAAATACCAGGTATCATTTGCAGTTGCAATAAGGTACAATCTACCTTTGGTATAACCTTGCTTTTACTGATCACATGCTATGCTCAGTAAGGGCCCATCCTGCAGGCAATTCCGAAATTCTAATCATATTTTCTCAGTACTGAAAAAAAAAAAAAAATCTACTTTCAGCTTCACTTTTCAGGCTCCTGCCCTGTGCTGAATCAGTCTTCTAAAAATTTCTTGGAAAACTGTTTATGTGTCTGATCTCTAATGTTTAAGAATTTTTCACTCCAGCCTTGACTGCCCAAAGTACCGCTGGCTTCTGGTTTTCATCCTCCTACAGTTTCAGCCTTTACCTGAGCCACACTCAGTACTCAGGCTCCTCCGTGTGGCCAGAATTGGCAAGTGCTCCCAGGTGAAACAGCTGCATTTTGCCCATGTGCTCTCTATGATTCACTCCTCTCCTGAATTTTACCGCTAGTCCTCTTTGCTTCTGCAGCAATACGCTGCATTCAAATAGATGCTTTTTGTGAAATTTTTCTAGTTGTTCTCAGTTAGTACACTGATCTGCTACAAGGTACTATAACCTACCCAGGAGTATTATTGACTTGTGCTTTTTTAAAGTTCTATATTTAAGAATGTACTTTCACATATAAATGTTTCGCTTTGTTGAAACTGTTACATCACATATGAAAAGTGTTAAGTACAGGAAGAAATACAGTGGGTACCATAAGTCACTCACAACAGGATGACACCTGCCAGGGCAGAAACCACCTATGCTCCACACGCACTTCTACAGTCACTAAGCTGCCTGCACAGCAACTCACCTTTCCCCTTTGATTCACTCTTCCAGAATGAGCCACTCAAAATCAGTCTGCCCCAGAATTACTAAAACATCCTGCTAGCAAGCTCCTCCTACGTGTGTCACGAGATCCAGAATCTCTCTCTCTCTTTTACCTGCACATCAAAAGGTCCTTTTGATGAATCCTCTTGCTAAAAATCTTCTCTCATCCTGCATATGCCTGAGCAGTAAACCTCTGATGTGCTTACAACTGCTGGTCCCAGTGTGGTGTGTTTTCACATCTAATACCTTTTGTTTTTTGGGGTTTTTTTTTAAATTTCTTTTCAGTGTACCAGAATTCATTGTTTATGCACCACACCCAGTGTCACATCTAATACCTTAAACAGGGGGACAGACCTGGCAATGGGCCAAAGTGTATCTTAACAAAAATAAAATGCTATTTCTAGATGAAAATGTTCTCCACATTTCCTAAATTGCTAGAAACACTTCAATTCAAAATCTGATGTATAAGCGTAGATTTTAACTTAAAGCTTCCACATAGTTAATACGTTTTCTCTAGTAACTTCCAACATCCAACAGATGCTACATCAAGAATGTCACACAAGTCTAATAAAATATCACCTCATAGAAAATGCCTCCCTATAGTGTCCTACAATTTGTGCATTTTCTAAAGCCTGTGGAGTAAATCTTCTCTACCTTATGAATGCTGATAGAGGTTTCTAACTTACGTGTTTTCTTTGATGTTCAGTGAGGTGGCTTTGGGCAAAAGGTTCCCTATATTGATTCACCAACAGGTCTTCTCCACTGAGTTTTCTAATATAATGTACGGTTCAAATTCCAACACAAAAGTTTTCTATATTCTATAGCTTCATATCATTCATTCTCTCCCCTCTGTAAGTTCTCTGCTATATTGGGAGAACTGACTTTAGACCAAAGATGTTCTCAAAAAGGATTATATCAATGGATTTTTCTCCCCTTTTGTGTTCTTTTTCTATAAACTCTTAACTTCACCCAGAGTGACTTCCCTCATTTATCACATTTATAGGGTTTCTCCCCAAATGTGTTCGTTGATGTACAGTAAGTTTAGACTTCACATAGAATGATTTTCTACAAACATTACATTGATAGGGTTTTTCCCCCGTGTGTGTTCTATGATGTGCAATGAGTTTTGACTTTACACAGAATGATTTTCCACATTCATTACATTCATAAGGTTTCTGTCTTATGTGAGTCCTCTGATGAACAATGAGGGCTGACTTCTGACGGAAATTTTTCCCACATTCAGTACACCCAAAAGGTTTCTCCCCCGTGTGTCTTCTCTGATGTTCTGTGAAACCTGAGTAGTAGCAAAAAAATTTTCCACATTCAATACATTCATAGGGTTTCTCACCTGTGTGAGTTCTCAGATGCTTGGTAAGAGTTGACTTCTCAGAGAAGGATTTTCCACATTCATTACATTCGTAAGGTTTTTCCCCTGTGTGAGTTCTTTGATGTTTAATGAGGTCTGATTTTCTGAGGAAGGCCTTCCTACATTCATAACACTCATAGGGCTTCTCCCCTGTGTGTGTTTTTTGATGTACAGTAAGGACAGACTTAAATGAGAAGGCTTTCCCACATTCATGACATTCATATGGTTTCTCCCCTGTGTGTGTTCTCCGATGTTGAGTAAGAGTAGACTTTTCACTGAAGGATTTCCCACATTCCTGACATTCAAAAGGTTTCTCCCCTGTGTGAATTCTCTGGTGTTTAAGGAGGTCTGAATTCTTGTAGAAAGTTTTCCCACATTCAGGACATTCACAAGATTTTTCCCCTGTGTGTGTTCTCTGATGCCTTGTGTGGGCTGACTTCTGGTTGAAGGTTTTTCCACATTCATGACATTCATAAGGTTTTTCTCCTGTGTGTGTTCTCTGCTGTACACCAAAGACTAACTTTTCACTGAAAAACGTTCCACATTCATTATATTCAAGTATATTGTCAATTGAGTGGGTTCTCTGAATTGGAATGAGGTTTGACTTCTGACTGAAAGGCTGAACACTCTGATGGTCAAGGAGAATGGATTCCTCAAAGAAATTTTCTCCACATTTATTGAATTCACAGTGATTCTCTCTTGGATGTGTTCTCTGATGAGCAATGAGAGATGACATATCACCGAAGGTCTTCCCATATTCAGTGTACTCACAGGTATTCTTTCCTGTGTAAGCTTTCTTTTGTACAACAAAGAGTGCATTCTCATGGAAAGCTTTCCTACATTCACTATATTCAAAAGGCTGCTCCAAAATTTGAATTTTCTGATGGTGAACAAAGTCTTCATTAAGGTGGAGGCCATTCCCATTTTTATTATATTCGTAAGGTATCGCTTCAGAATGAATTCTTTCATACTTATCATTATGGAGCCAATTTCTACCTTTGTTAAACCCACTGAACTTCTTTCTTGAATAGTTTCTACTGTTATTAATTAATTCTGAAATATAAATAGAGTGACAAGGAAGATTAGTTGACAAGGATATGTAGGAGAAAAAGAATTAGTTAGGTTTTGGGGAGTAGACAAGCTTAGTTCATTATCGCCTCATTTCTTGACTATGACAACAGTATACATACTTCCAGTCTCATCTCTCTTTTCCATTCTGCACACTAGCAACAAATCAAACTTCTAAGAACTCTAATTCAAAAGGGAACAGTACTATAACCCAATCTCTAATATCTTTATTTTTTTCTTTTTTTTTTAAAGATTTTATTTATTTATTTGACAGAGAGAGAGATCACAAGTAGGCAGAGAGACAGTCAGAGAGAGAGGAGGAAGCAGGCTCCCCGCTAAGCAGAGAGCCCAATGTGGGCCTCGATCCCAGGACCCTGGGACCATGACCTAAGCCGAAGGCAGAGGCTTTAACCCACTGAGCCACCCAGGCGCCCTCAATCTCGAATATCTTTAATTCTGTTTCTAGCCCTGATGCACTAGGAATAAAAACACACAACAACACAGCAAAAATAATGAGTGGTCAAGCCATCCTTGCCATAATATCAGATTTACAGCTCTTTTGATTATGGTATTTTTCCCATTATTCCATCAGAGTTGTTCAAGAGTGGACTTCTGACCATCAGACCCTCTTCCAGTGTCTTCTGGCTTTCCCCCAACCAAATCTCATTTGATTTAACATTAGCCTTCAATCCTGCATGTGTATGTATGTATATACATACATACATATATGTTATGCTTTTATATCTCTGCATAACATGAAAGCCTACAATTCTAAACCTGATCCTAAAACTTTCATTTACCTGTACATTAATATTTTTTGGTTATGTATACCTGTCTTTACTTCTCTGTTACCTATAATACTATATTTGTAATGATGTATCATACAATTCTATAGAATGTCAATACTAATACTACTGAGTCCAATAACCTAAGAACTGACAATATTTTTTTAAAGGTATCACACTGAAGCAAACATATTAACCTGTATTCAGATAAGAACCAAGCCATCAATTTACTAATCTAGAATGAATGTTTTTTATTCTCATAAGCCCAGCTGTTTGTCCCCATAATTTGTTCATTCTCTTCCATAATCTTATACTCAAGTTGTTTCATTCTGTTAGAGCTTACAGTCCAATGTTTTTAAAAAGTTGCTTCCCAAATCTACCCAACACTTTCAGCTTCATTTGCTAAAAATGAAAGAAAGAAAGAAAGAAAGAAAGAAAGACAGACTGACCTGTAACATGGATAAACATTTCTCCAAAGAAAACACATAGATAAATGGTCAACAGACACATGAAAAGATACTCATCACATCATCAGGGAACTGCAAATCAAAACCACAATGAGAGATCACCTCACAACAGTCTGATTGGCTAATATAAAAAACACAGGAAACAACAGGTGTTGCAAGGATGTGGAGGAAAAGGAACCCTCATGTACTGTTGGTGGGAATGCGAACTAGTGTAGCCACTGTGGAAAACAATATGGAGGGTCCTCAAAAAGTTAAAAATAGAACTACCTTATGACCCAACAACTGCACCACTGAGTATTTACCCTACGAATACAAGCACACTAATTCAAGAGATACATGTACTCTTATGTTTATAACAATACCATTTACAATAGTCAAATTATGATGGCAGCCCAAGTGTCCATCAATTGACAAATGGATAAATATGTGGTGTATACACACATACACAATGCAATAATACTCAGCCATAAAAATGAAATCTCGCCTTTTGCAATGACACGGATGGAGCCATAGAATACAATGCTAAGTGAATTAAGCCAGCCAGCCAAAGACAAATATCATATGATTTCACTCACATGTGGAATTCAAGAAGCAAAACGAATAAGCAAAGGCAAAAAAAAGAGAGAGAGAGAGAGAGAGAAATCAAGAAACAGACTATAGAGAACAAACAAGATGGTTACTAGAGGGAAACTGGGGGGGATGGATGAAATAGATAATGGGGATTAAGTAGCACACTTGTCATGATAAGCACCAGGTGATTTTTTTTTTAAGATTTTTTTTATTATTATTTATTTATTTGACAGAGAGAGATCACAAGTAGGCAGAGAGGCAGGCAGAGAGAGAGGGGGAAGCAGGCTTCCCGCTGAGCAGAGAGCCTGATGCGGGGCTTGATCCCAGGACCCTAAGTTCATGACCTGAGCAGAAGGCAGAGGCCCAACCCACTGAGCCACCCAGGCACCCAGCACCAGGTGATTAAAATAAAAAGTTAAAAAGTCTGTTTGTATAATTTACTTTAACATGAACATGAGCTACGCTGCTATAACAATGTCTTTGTTAAACACTGAATTTTTAAATATTCAATGCAGCTCTGATTTTTACTCAACTATGTTTCTGGCAGCCATAACTCCACCTATGATTTTCTTCCAACACTCTGAATAGATATTAAGTCAATCGTGTTTAACAAATGGTTTTTATCAGAATTAACAGGAGAGCCTTACCAAACACAAGTTTTTAGGCATCATACTGAAAGATTTAGTGGTTTAATGTCTGTACTTTAAAAAAATATATTTCTGTAAAAACCAGCAAAAATGGTAAAATGCTAATGAAAGATTTTTAAAAAGCATGTATAGAATAAATTTAATATTCATGATATTGTTAGTTTTGTCATGAAAATACATATTTAAATGTTATTAAGAAATCTATATAAACCCCATCAAAAGTGTCCTGTTCCTCCTAACACTTGATGTGCGTGTATGAGGAAGATGAAACAAGAATGATAACAAGACATGATTTTTCAGTCTCTATGTCAATGTATACCTGACAACTCATAGTCTAATGCTTGATGAACTGGCATGTATGTTAAAAAAGAGTTTGTGGTGATGACCTTCTGAATTATTACGAAAATCTGGCTCTATGTGGCTGCATGATCAAGCAAAACTGTTAATAATGTGTAATTCTGGGTTATTAAAGAGTGAAACCAAGATCTTTCTCTTTGGAAGAGCAAAATCCTGGGGATTAGAGAAGTCTCGTAAAATACTAGTACCTAATTATATGACCAGGAATTAACTTCTTGATGGACAGACATGGAAGGAGAAGTGAGCTAAAGTATTCAATGAGCTTGTCTTAGTAAAGGAAATTTGGGATAAAAATTATAAAACATATGTAATGAAAACAAGAAGCCATTACTTGCTGTTATGCACTGTTTCGATACACTTTGTTGTTTCGTTTTCTCGTTTTATAACCTCCATATTTCCTACTGTACTTTCAACATTATCTTTTCTACCTCTGTTTTTTCAAATTGTGTTTTGATTACTGCAGTGATTTTATTCGTTTTTTTCCAGTTATTTCCTGTGATATAACATGGCTCATAATACAACTTCTTGCGGTCTTATCTCTTTTAGAATGTTTTATCTCTTTAAGAATATCTTATTTGCCTATTTTATGTTCTTGCACACCCAAAGCCATTATTTCATTGTTAATTTATAAACTAGTTAATTTAAAAACTAGTGACAATATTTAGCCATTACATGACATTTTTCAGGTGAATTACCACTTGCTTATCCTGTCTTCTCCTGTTTCCTATAACTTCAAATATATCTTGTGACGGCTGTTATTATTATTTTAATTCCTGAGCACTAAAGGGGGTGAGTTTTTCCTGATCCAGGCTTTCCCCTGGGGTGAACAGAGAACCGTATTCCAAAGTGGCAAGAATATTTCTTAACAAGGGCACTGCATCCTATCCTCAATCTTTACTATTCTTCAGCTGAGAGAAGTCTTTTTAGTTTTTTCAAGTATAAAGTCTTTTTCATTTTCTACTACTTCACAGATGGACTGAAGGCAGCTTTCCAACACAGTCTGTGCCTGTGAGTCCTCCTTCTAACCCATCCCTCTGCTTCTCAGAAAGCAAGCCAGTACAGACATCTACCACCACCATGAAATTCTTTCCTGCTGTTCTAAGAGATCAGGTTTGACAAAGTGAGATTCCACCTTCGGAAGTAGCAGCTCTGAAATCTGCAGCTCGGCACACACCTCCAGCTGGTATTTCACTGCTATTGGCAACCCTTCCCCTTGTATCATTTAACTTTCTTCTCGTTCTTTCAAAAGTGGGGTTTGATTTGCATCTGTTAGTTGTTCTTGTATTCCTTTCCTGAGAAGTCAAGGTTAAAATGCCAACTTTATGTTTCTATCTTCAGACTTAAGGTCCATTTACTTCTCCTTGAAATACATTCTTCTCTTGGCCTCCAGAATATCATATTCTCTCAACTTTAGTCCATCCTCACAGATTCCTCCAACTGTCCTCACCACTCAGTCCCCCTCATCTTCATCACTTCTAAACCCCTAAACCTTGTGGGGCCACAGGATTCAGCCATAAGACCATGTCTCTCCTTTATTTATACTCACAAGCAAGAAGATCTCATATAGTTCCCATGACTTTGAACATCTTCACACTGCTGGTGTCCACACTTACATACTGTTACACACAGTTTAACCTCTGAAAGACTAAAAATTTTCTGAAAGAATATATAACTAAAAACTAAAAGAGGCAAAAGAGTATAATTTTTTAAAAATCCAAAAGGAGTTGTGAAATGAGGAATAAAAGAAGAAAGAAGACATGGTAATAAAAAAAAGAAATAGCAAGACTGCAGGCTTAAGTCCAATTATACCAGTAAACATAAATGGACTAACTAATCTAAGTAAGAAATTTTAAATGTCAGACTAGATTTAGCAAACAACTACTGCTTTCAGTTTATAAGAGACACACTTTAAATGTAAGAGCACGGTAAGGCTGACAGTAAAGAATAGAAAAGAACATACCATGAAAACTCAAAAGAATGCTGCTATAATAACGCTAATACCAAAATCAGCCTTAAAGGCAAAAGTATTACTGCATGTATGGAGACAGGCACTGCATAATGGTTGAAGAGTCCTTTAAAAAACGGGATATAAAACAAAACAAAACAAAAAAAAAAACGGGATGTAACAATTCTAAATTTCCATTTGCTGAATTAATACA